AGATGCTTTCCAGCTACATTGAAGGGCATTGCCCAACGATGGTTTGGCAACTTGCCAGCCGGGTGCATAAACGGCTTCAAGATGCTTGCGTACTTGTTCGCCTCCAACTTCTCTATGAATCCCTGCAAAGAAAACAATTCTGGACTTGAGTGCCATACAGCAGGGAGGCAGAGAAGGGCTTAGGTCCTACGTTAGGCGGTTCAATCTGATGAGAATTCATATTCAAGGACTGTCTGACAAAGTGGCTTACACAGACTTCTTTAAGGGTCTGAAAGACGGATCAACCTTCAAGTTTGATCTCGTCCAAAAAAGGGTCGCTACCCTCCAGGATGCTTTGATGGAAGCAGAAGCCTACATACAGGCTACTGAGCTGTGCGCCATCAAGCAGCCGTCGGACTCTAAAAAGTCCGACAAAAAAGAAAGCCGGTCTGCTCAATCGGCAAAAAAGGAAGAGAGTAAGAAAAGAAAAGAAGTCTGGGTGGCGGACAATTCTGGTCAGCCATCCCAGAAAAAGAAGAAGGAGTTGAAACCGTACACCCCCAAGTACGAGTTCAACAAGGATAGTTGCTCCATCCTCATGGAGATCAAAGACCGGGTAACTATCAATAAACCGGCTGCCATGAAGGGTTCTGTCAGAAATCGGAACAAGAATAAATATTGTCACTTCCATGAGGACATTGGCCACGACACCAATGATTGTTACAGCCTCAAATGGTTATTGAAATATCTGGCTGATAAAGGAGTACTAAAGTCCTATATCTTGAAGCCCAAGGCGATCCTTGATAACTTGTTATTTTGTATGATTTTAGAGTGATTTTGAGCCCTAGAATTGTGAGAAATCAATGCTTAGTTCACTAATTACTCTATTTTTATGCATTTTTTGTGTATCATATGCTTCACGGGTTTGCTAGTGTTTTGGTGCATATTTAGGTATAAATATGACACTTTGAAGCTTTTTGACAAAGAAGAAAAGAAGTTGGAGACAAGAAGAGGAAATAAGGGAGCTATGGAAGAATTAAAGAAGCAAGGAAAAGTGTACAAGAGTGAAATAAGAGCATTTGGAAAGGTTTTGGAAGGGTTTTAGTACTAAGGTCAACTTCAAATGACCATAACTTTTTTTCTACTCAATCTTTTGAAGTGATTCAAATTGGAGATTAAAGTTCATCTCAAGAGATTTCCAACGACTGGTTACATGCCTTATTCCAATGAGTAATGAAGAAGTTATGACCTTCCGAAACAAAGCTGTTTCGCCAAAAAACGTTGCACGTCCGTGCAATACCAGGAAGTAGCTATTGCTCTCATTTTAATAGGTCTGCACGTCCGTGCAACCTTTGGCACGTCTGTGCAGACCTGTAGATGGGCCGATTCTTGTTTTCTCCGCCCTTTTACTTGGAGGTTATATAATATCCCTTTAGCTTCATTTGTAAAAGGGGGGGGGGGATCTTCTTAGTTTAGTTTTAGCTTAGGTTAGGATTTTTAGATAGAGAAACTCTCATTTTCTAGAGAGAGAAAGTGAGAAAAGCTTGTTGAAAGCTTGGAATATGAAGAATTGAAGGAAAGAGACTTGAAGATTTGGATACTCCTTGCAATATCAATGAGAATTTCTTACTCTCTCTCCTATTTTGTTAATCTATTATTTACTTATTTTTGTACCTTTTTATCCTTAATTGCTTGTTTATGTTAGATTAGTGTTTGAATTCATGTTCTTAGTTGTTAATTCCTTTAGTTTTGTAATTATTATGATTTGTGAGTAGTTCTTTTACTTGGGATGGTTGAAACCATTGATGAATTCACAAATAGTTGTCTGTATATGTAGATTTAGCTAATGTGGGATGTTAATTAGTTGAGCTTAAATGGCTTCATTGTTAGTTCTTGTAAGTGGCCATTGTTAGAACTATTTATCTAAGCTTTCTCAATGAAGGATCGAGAAATGAACTTGAGTTAGCTCCCTTATGCTTAATTGAGTTAAAATGCCATGAGAATAGGAATTTCTAGTCAAGGGAATGTTTATGTCATCGTGATTATGCTTTACCACTTGTTTTATGCTTTGTAACCACGAGAGTAGGTTATATTCATGACTGAAGTAATCCCTCTAGCTTGAGAGAGTAGTTAGGTGCCTTAGATGACTTTCCCTAATTTATCCCCAAATTGCTATGTCTTGTATGTTAAATTGTAGTTTGTGAATGACTTAATTGGTGGATACCTTCCCAAGATCTTTTTTATTATTGTTTGTAGTTTTTCTTCATAACTCATAACCCCAAAATACTTGACTTAGCTTTCACAAATCGATATTTGTTAGTGCTCCCCTTAGTCCTTGTGGGATCGACCCTTACTTACCCTTTCTACCCACTAGAGAGACCAAGTTAGGTTTTTATCTTTGGTAGGCTCGACGACGGCCTATCAACCCTCAAAGAAAACAATGGACAGCCGTCCAAGAAGGCACCCCAATCTGCTAATAGTTCAGACACCGATGATGAAACGATCTATACTATAGCAGGCGGCTTTGCCGATGGGGGTCCTACCATTCAGGGCACCAAGGACTACGTCCGGAGGCTGGATGTCAGCACAGTGGATGAGGGCCTGACGTCATCAAAAGACACCTTTCCTGACGTCCTCATCACTGAGAAAGATAGGGGCAAGGTCAGGCGGCCACATGATGACTCCATAGTGATCGAGTGCAAGATAGCCAATCAGAAGGTTGGCCGGATCCTAATCGACACTGGGAGCTCATCCGACCTGATCAGTCACAAGTGCTTGGCTAAGCTCAAGTACAAGCCCAGTAACATGACCCAAGTTTCTCACCCTTTGGTTGGATTTGGGGGAGGGGTTGTGCATCCGGTGGGAAGAATCGACCTACCCATTCGGTTGGGAGAGAAAGGGGAATGATGCCACATGGTGATCCGGTTCCTTGTTGTGGAGGAGTTGACCGCCTATAACCTGGCACTAGGCAGTCCAATGCTGAATGAGTCTAAAGCGGTCATCATTCCCTCCCTCATGCTCCTAAAATTTGAAAAAGATGATGGGTTTGTAGGCTCCTTGAACGGAGATCAGAAGACGACGAGAGAATGCTATCTCTTAGACGTCAGATCGACCGTGGCTGCAGCCGGTCAGGATAAGGAGCCTGTAGACCTTGATGAGGTCAAAGAAGCTGCGCCTGCTCTAAGAGCAGCCGGTAAGAAGAGAAAGGCGGACCACTTGGTAACCATCAAGAAAGAGAAGCAATAGCAATTACTGACCAGGGAGAGGTCAGACGAGCTACGTCCCCAGCCGGCTGGTGATCACATTGACATCGTCCTGGATGAAACTCGCCCAGATCAAACTATTAAGGTGGGGACGACTGCTTTTGCTAAGTAAGGTGAAGAATTGCACACCCTTCTAAGGGAATTCAAAGACATTTTTGCCTTTGAAGTTGAGGAGATGCCAGGCGTCAGCCCGGATCTAGCTGTGCATAAACTCGCCGTGGATCCTAAAAAGAAGCCAGTTAGGCAAAAGAAAAGGAACCACGGGGAGGAAAGAAGCTAGGCGGCTGCTATATTCCAACGTATGATTAATACAGTCTACATTAATCAAATTGGGAGGAATGTAGAGGCGTATATTGATGACATGATAGTCAAATCCAAGCTACAAACGGATCACCTTGCTGATCTTCGAGAAACCTTCACCACCCTCAGGCGGCACAAGGTCATGCCTAATCCCAAGAAGTGTGTCTTTGGTGTTGAGTCTAGGAAGTTTCTTGGATTCTTGATTGATCAAAGGAGAATAGAGGCTAATCCAGAAAAGATACAAGCGGTTATTGACATGACCCTAGTAGAAAAACTTAAATAAGCACCGCCAAATGCGCACCGGTTTTTAAAAATCGGTGCGAAAAAAAATAAGCGGAATTGAGGGAATGAGTTTTCGCACCGGTTCTAACCAAACCGGTGCGAAAAATGAGTCAATTGCACCGGTTCGGTTCAAACCGGTGCTAAATCTATTGTTAAATAAAAAAAAACCCGGTCAATGTTATTTCTTTTTCTTCCATTTTCTCGATCTTTCCTCCTCTGTCATCTGCCTCTCTCTCCTCCATTGAAGCGTACTCGAAATTCTCCATTGAAGGAGCTTTGCCTTAATCAAATCGAACATGGTCGTATTCTCTGCTCCTTCAATGTTCCTCAACGTCTCCTGGTTCGTTTCTCTTTCTTCAATTTTTTTGATAATTTTTGCTGGGTTTTGTTATTAGGGTTTCTAATTTGACTCTGAATCTCCGAAATTGTTTTGGGGATGATATTGTAGAATACTGCGAAATTATTTTGCTGGGTTTTGTTATTAGGGTTTCTCTCGCTGGTATTTTTCTCCCTTTATCTAAACCTAGGTTTTACTTTTTTTGATTTTTGATTCATGTATTTCTGCTATTAGTGTTGTTTAACCCTAATTTTTTTTTTCAGGTTTTAGACTTGTGAATTCAATACATCGATGTTTGATTTCGTTGTAGACTTCTGATTTTTAGTTGCTAATTTTTGGTAAGGGTCAAGAGCATAAATGTAATGACTTCGAATTGAAGAACATGTCTAAATTATAATGATTATGATTCCATCTTATGCAATCAGTATGGGTCAGGAGTTTAAGGAACCTTGAGTAAAAATAAAATACATTTCTCATTCTCTCAATTAAGCAGCATGTGTTTGATGCATAAGGCTGGGGTAAATCTAATTTACAGCTAGTAAAACCTTGAAATTATCTTTGCTAATACTTATATAAATAAATTAGAGGAGAAAATAACCTTAGTAAAAGTCATAAATTTCTAAAAATACCTGTTTTTGTTGTCCATTGATGTTTTGATTTGGTATATTATCTTTTCTATAAGCTTTTATTGTGCATATTCCCAATCATGATGTCTTCCTAGTGTCCACTATGCCTGCCACGGCAACCACTTTTTTAATTTCACTATACAAGTATCTTGTTAGAAACATATAGTGTTTGGTTGGGTGTTAACCATTTTCTTTTATTTTGTATCTAAAGGGATGGAAAGCAATTTTCCCAAGGGTGGAAATCAATTTCCTTTTGTAAGTAATTAACACATTTTCCACTCTGCTCCTTGTCTTTCTTATTCTCTCCTCCCATCCATCCTCTCCCATTTACTTTTCTCCATAACTTTTCTGGTATGCTACCAAACAAAGGAGAGTTTATCAGGTTTATTTTCATTAATATACTTCATACAAAGTATATTTTTTTGTAATAACACACCGGATCAACTCTTGACCCTTTCTCTTGTAACTGCCAATTGCCAGATTTCTTTTAGTGTCGACGAAAGTGTGACACCCAAGAAGCCTACCTCTCTGCTAGAGGTAGCAAAGCAACGTGAATTGAGTGGCACTCTAGAAGCTGAGGCAGACTTAAAGATCAAAAAGGGACTGTCATATGCCAAGTGTAAGGAACTCAGTGGAAATAACATTTTTGGCCCACCTCTGGAAAATCTTCCTCGATCATTGGTTGTTGCACGTTCATTGGAGTCAAAAGAAAAGGACATGGGTGAGCCAGCACCAAGAAATCTTCCAACGTGAGTATACTAAGTTTTTAAGAGAGTGACTCAATCTTTTCTATTTTCTGGCTATACTAAGTTGGTTTCCCCCTTATGTTGTTCTGTTTGTGTGGTCAGAATTCGGGATCACCTGTTTAAATATAGCCTTTATTTTGCATTGTCTTGAGCTAGCTATCTGTGTTTATAGGACAATGATTGTAGAAAGGTAGGCTCTAGAGGACCGTAACAGAAAACAGTTGAATATGAAATTTATATGCGTGTTAATTGAATTGCCTGATTAGTGACTGCTATACTGATAAAGTTGACAAAGTTTTTTCAAAGGATAAAAGTTTTGTAGCTGTAAGTCTCAAGTATTGTCATCCATTTTAGTATTTGACAAGTTTTCTTGCAAACCTGATCATTAACATAATCTCTTTTTGTAGCCTGCTGGAGGACAGAGTAATATTATGTTTGAGGATTCCGTGATGTAACTTTTGAGTATTATATCATCAGATTTTGCATCACTTCTGATTCTTTTGGTCTCTTGAGGTCATCCAATTATGCCACTCTGGTTATGACATAGCTTATTGTAGTAGCTTCACATATGGTATACTCTACTCTTATTTTTTAACCACATGATTGACACTGCTGCTGATTACTAAATTTTGATTATTTACTTTATAAAGGCTAGACTAGGAGTACAATTTTGCAAGAAAGTCATATAGGTGTCACTGTATATTCTAGCATCATGACACTGCTACACTGCATATCTCTTAACTGTACTATATACTCTATATTAATATTGCTGACCCTGACTTGTCTTGTCTATATTAGAATGTAAGGCTATACACTAGATGATATGGTGGATCATAAAATTTAGACTGCTATATATGCAGTAAGTCACTAATGGTGGAGCACCCTGATTGGAATTAAGGATACAGAGTCAAAATCTGTGTTTGTCACTTGGTGTTAGAGGGAGGGAGGCCTTAAAATTTTTGCCAAGGCTTTTTACATTCCGGCATGTGTTCTATATAGTGTAGTTTGTAGTAGTAGCCAGTCCTAGATGTTGCCAGGTGTATTCAATTTGATTAGTCATTAGCTAGATAACTCTATGAGTAGTGTGCCATGAAGTGGCAGATAGAATTCTGGATATATGATTGTTAAATGCTGAGTGGTTTTGTCTTCAAAGGAGAGAGTAGTAGCTAGAACTCGTCTTTCATTGTTCATATTAAGGGAGTTCTTATCTATCTTTAATTTTTTTGAATTTTTCGTGTCAGATATCCCATTGTGGCAGTGTAATCATATTTACTCACCTGTTTGAATCTCCATTGTCAAAGAGTTTATTCATGCATCCGCACTCCAAAAAAGGATATATCTTTTTATATATTCTTTTGGTGCACCTTTAGCTGCCAAACATAATCCTTTTTCCGCACAGATTTTTAAGGAAATAGTTTGACATATATTCCAGCAATCCAAATTTCCATATGATTAGTGTTTACACAAGACTTCTCACTGAACGTAATATTCCAGGATGCTGTGTGCAACATGTTTTTCTTGTGGAGTGACATCTCTATTTCTCCTTTTATTGATGTTACAGGACATTCTGATCCATCAAAGTCAAAGGAAGGTGCAAAATCTGTGCAGCGCCTGTCTGATGACGACCTAAAGAGGCGCCAAATAGAAATTAAGGTGTTTATCTTTTAGTACTCAAAATGCTATAAACAAAACATAATGGTCTTTTCTATATCATTACTTTTGCCTTCTGGTTTTCTTGGGTAAGGAATTTTATTTTTATGTAGCTTGCATTAAGCTACTTCGTGTTCAAATGTCATACCTTGCTAACAGCCAACAGATAGCCAACAAGCTTTGCAAAACCAGGCCAGCAACCAAACAACAGCATCACAACAGGTGAAAGAGCAGGAAACAAAACCAGCAGCCTAAACCAGACCTAAGCAGCCAGAAACAGAAAGCAGTAGCCAGCAACAGCTTCTCCAGACCTTGATTTTGTATTTTTTTTCTCTTTAGTTTTTTAAAGTGTAATATTACAAGTTATTGAAGAAAATATATGTGTTTTATGTATATTATGATTATATATAAGTATTTGGTACAATTTAAGTGAAAAAAATGCAAAAAAAAAAAAAAAAAAAATATTATTTGGGCATTTTTGGCACTTTTTTTGGGCATTTTTGGCACCGGTTTTGCAAATAACCGGTGCTAAAAGTTTTTAAAAAAAATAATTTTGGGGACTTTTGGCACCAAATCTAAGTTATAACCGGTGCGAAAAGTTCAGTTTTTGGCACCGGTTCTCCTCTAGAACCAGTGCGAAAAGTCATTTTTCCCACCGGTTTTGAACCGGTGCGAAATCTATGGGGTTTTAGCACCCCCCAAATCCGGTCTGGTTCAAAACCGGTGCGAAATAAGGGGTTTGAACCGTTGGGGAATTCGTATTTTCACCTAATGTGAAGTCGCCCCGCACTGTAAGGGAAGTTCAGAAATTAACCGGTTGCCTGGCGGCATTGGGGAGATTCCTCAACCGGTCAGGTGACAAGTGTCTCTACTTCTTCAAGGCAATCAAGAAGAAGCCAAGATTTGAATGGGGTGATGATGCTGAGGCGGCACTTCAGAAATTGAAAGAGCACTTGCATTTGTTACCAAGGCTAGTGAGCCTTCTGCCTCAAGAGGTTCTCTACATGTACTTAGCCATCTCGGATCATGCCCTCAGTGTTGTTCTCCTTGCTGAGAGAGACGAAATTAGCTTCCGGTATATTTCATTAACCACGTTCTTCGAAATGCTGAGCTTCGGTACCCCATGGTTGAAAAATTTGGGCTTGTTCTTTTCATGGCAGTCAGGAAGTTAAAACCATACTTCTTAGCACATCCGGTGGTGATCTACACAGGTCAGATCAACCCCTCAAGCGGCCCATGACAACCCTGGAGTCATCCGGTAGAATGCTCAAATGGGCTATTGAAATGCAAAGTCTGGAAATCATTTTCGAACCTAGGAAGGCGGTGAAAGGTCAGGCGTTTGCCGACTTCATCGTCGAAATGACAAGGCCGGCTGAGCCGGAGAATCTTGATCAGGTTTGGAAAGTGTATGTAGATGGGAGCTCTACCATGAACGACTGTGGTGCACCATAATATGTCAGTCTCCGAAAGGGGATAAATATGAATATGTGCTACGGTTCCAGTTCCAGGCCTCAAACAATGAGGCGGAGTATAAGGCTCTGCTAGCCGGAATCCGTATGTGTAAGGCAGTAGGAGCAAGGAAAGTTGACGCCTGCTTTGATTCCCAGTTGATCGTCAGCCAATACCATGGTGACTATGAGGCCACCCATTCGGCTATGATCAAATATCTGCAGGTGGTCAAAGACGAGGCCGGGACACTTGATGAATTTCATCTAAGTCAGGTGCCCGGGTCAGAAAATAATCAGGCGGATGCGTTATCTAAGCTGGCATCATCCGCCTCCTGTGATACGCCTAGGTCAGTCTTTAGGGAAGTCATGGAAAAAAGAAGCATTGAACATGATCCCATTGGAGTTCTTGACCGAAGCTTGACCTGGATGGATGTCATCCGGGCTTACCTGACAGACGGCACCGTGCCGGATGCCCCTTCAGAGGCGGCTGCATTGAAGAAGCGAGCCACAAGTTTTGAGATTCATAAGGGAGAACTCTTCAGGAAGGGTTATCTCTAGCCGCTTCTGAAATGTGTCACCCCAGAAAGGGGGAAGGAAGTACTAGAGGATCTGCACTCGGGCTTTTGTGCATCACATATAGGCGGCAGAACTCTAGCGAAAGGGCCAGGCGGCAAGGCTACTTTTGGCCCACTATTGAGGCAGACGCTATGGAAATGGTGAAAAGTGCAATAAGTGTCAAAGATTTGGCCGGCTCATACACCGTCCGACTACTGATTTGACGGCTATCTACAGCCTGGTTCCATTTGCAAAATGGGGCATGGACATCCTGGGTCCATATATGCCTGCTACAGGCGGACGGAGGTATATTTTGGTGGCTTAGATTACTTCACCAAATGGGTTGAAGCAGAGGCAGTCAAGGGCATTAAGACAAAGGATGTCATCTCTTTCATCTGGAGAAACATCATCACCCGATTTGGGGTACCTATGTCTATGGTCTTTAACAATGGCCCTCAGTTTGAAACGCCTACCCTCAAGAGCTGGTTGGGAGATCAAGGGATCTCACATTGTTTTGCATCAGTCGGCCGACCCCAAGCAAATGACCAAGTAGAAGCCTTCAACAAACTCATCTCAGACGGCATCAAGAAGAAAATTGAAAGGGCTGATGGTCTATGGGCAGATGAGTTGCCTCATGTCCTATGGGCCATCAGAATAATTGAAAAAGGGGCAGCCGGTGAAACCCTGTTTCTCATGACATACGGCACTGAAGCCGTCCTACCTATTGAACATTACAAGCCAACACTTCGAATCATGCTCTATGATGAAGAGGCTATTTGGGAGGCCATACGTCTAGCATTGGATTCACTCCCGAAGCGCAGGGGCAATGCCGTCTTACGTCACGAGATATACCGTCTGAGAATGACGAGAGCCTACAATAGAAGAGTACACAAACGGCCCCTGAAAGTGGGGGACTTTGTGTTACGGAAAATGGAGGCAACCGGTAGGGCTAATGAGCAAGGAAAGTTAACCCCTAATTGGGAGGCCCCTACCGGATTTTTGAAGAAGTAAGAGGCGGCACCTACCGCCTGGAAACTCCAAACGGCAGGCAGCTAGCCAGAACTTGGAATGTGGATAACTTGAAAAAGTACTAGTTATGAGATTCGTGTAAATGTTTGTAAATATAGTATATCAATGAAAGTAACTTTGTTTGCAAAACATTTTATTTTCTCTGTATATGTAAACCGTTTGTGCAATGCACAAACGGGTGTGCTTAATTTTTTACGACCTCTCCCACATGAGCAGCATTAAGCTAAGTCCAAGGACCAAGCGGCTTGGTCGTTCTTTTATGAACAACCTCAGGAAGCCAATGGCCAGATATTACAGCTAAGTGCCTACTCCAACAATAGGCACCCGGCGACACCCCATACGGGTGAATTCGTCGAAGAGAGCATCTCCCATTTGGGTGGTACATTGCTCTATAAACGAAAATACGAACGGCCTAACAGAGTGTCTAGATTAACATAACTGATCAACCGTTTGAAAGATTAATTGAAGCCTTGATAACTTGTCTCCCGCCTGCTCTAATGCAGCCAGAGACTGTTTTGGTTGGATAAAATCGTTTGTTGCTCAAAGGCACCACAAACGGCTAATTTAAAGACTTAAGCCTAACCTTAGCGGCTAAAGTACCTACACACGGTCTATGCCCGTCTGTTTAACATTGAACTATCTGCTAGAGTATGGGCAATATGCAGATAATAACCGTTTGCTAGTTGTGATGACATATCTAACTGGCCAAAACTGATTTACAAAGCAAATCACAGCCGGTATTTTTCATAATTATCCCGGATGTCTGCT